ATTTACTACACACTCACAATACCAGACACTTACTATCTTGCCTAGATTACCTATTTTATGAAAAATACTCCTTATAAAATGTCTTTCTTGATTTTTTAGACTGAAATATCTTCCTTCCTAATTCAGTATGACTTAGGACTGGAGAACTCAGTTTATCATATGCCTTTACATTCTTCTTTTAACCCCATCACCCAACCGTAAACTCAATGGATAGTTTGATCTTCATTTCAACAGTCTTCTGAACTATATTCCAGATTTCTCTTCTGGAAATAGAATGTGACTCACTGCCACTGCCCTTATGCCCTGAGGTCCTGGAACTTTCCTTAAATCCAGATTATTTAGAATGCAAATAACTAAGAAATCAGAAAATGAATTCTTAACCCCACATCCTTTCATCCTTGCGACTCCCCCAAAATCTCTCTCCTAGTCTTCTTTTACTTACACCCCTAAGACCCAAAAGGAATAATTTGAGCAGGTAGTGGGAGGATCCTTTCTTCATCATAACATTAAGAATAATGCTTGTAAACTTGTGACCAAGCAAGAATTTGTTTCTTCAACTCTAAAACAGAGATAATTATACTTAGTTTTAAGGATCAAATAAGATAATGTACATATAAAAAAGGGTGAAAATCTTAGTTTTAAGGATCAAATAAGATAATGTATATATAAAAAAGGGTGAAAATCATGATAAATAAATGTTACCCGTCTTCATTTGTCTCTTCGTCACTATTATTGTTAACATATCAATTCTTCCTCAGCAAGGCATTGTGACAGGTTTCGGAGATCTAGGCACAGAAGTCCATCAACCTTGCTCAGCTCTAGCCTATTTGCTGGAGGATGGTACTTATGGTAAACCTTCAGTTCTTGTCTCAAGACCTTTCCTGAAGATGTTGATATGTATTAACAAGATTAGAGGCCAGTGCAAAGTGAACTTGATCTTGGATGAGGTCATTTCTAAATGCTCTGAAGTATGGGGGAAGGGTATAATTTACCATAGAATAAGCAAAAGGATGCATTTTTAGATAAGGTAGAGGATAGTGTCAATACATACTTTTGGAAGGTGTTTAAGTGAGGAGTTAAAATCATGCTAAATTAACTTGATCTAAAAATTTCTGGTCCACAAGTTATAACAGAAATGATTGATAAATATGACTATAAATTCTAATTAAGAAATTCCTTGTGTATAAATAATGCATGTATTTGAATGCTCACTAATCAGTAAGTTATGGATTACTCAGTAAAATAAATGGACAAAGGACTTGAACAGAATATTCAGAAAAAAAGATACAAATATAGGCAACACTTGTGGGAAGATGTTCAACATCATTCATGATTATAAAATTAAAATAAAAATAAGATATCATTTGACAAATATTCAAAAGAGATTGACAAAAGATTGACAAAACCAGTATTAGTGAGGGTGTGAGGTAACTAACTGGCACACTCATATACAGTTGGTATAAAATAGTATAACTTTTATGGAGGAATAATAAATAGTATCTTTTGAAAAAAGTACATACATCCTTGACTCACTGCTAAAAATTATCCCAGAAATATAAAATTTATAAAATCACAAACTTCTCTATATAAGGATGTTCACTAAGAATCGTTTGTAATGGCACCCCCACCCCACAAAAATGGTCCATTAATGCAGAACTGTTTCAACAATGATAGATCCATGCAATGAAGAATGAGATAAGGCTATATATATTGATACAAAATGTTGTACACAGGATGTTGTTAAAAAGGTAAACCAAAGAACAGTAGGCATCATATGCTTCTGTTGATATGAAGATATAAATAAGTATATATGCTTAGAAATACTCTAGAAGAATACATAAGAACTTTTGTGGTTATTTCCTCTGAGAATGTAGGGAGGAAAATGTTTGCCTTTCACTGAATTCCCTTCTGTACTGTTTGAAAACTTTACCATAAACATATATTACTTTTATAAGAAACAAAAGCTCAGTTAAAAATATCTAAAGAGCAAGTGGGAATCATTACAATATGTCTGAAAATAGTTTTCAAAACTAAAAACGTTGTCTTAGAAGATTAACTTTCCTTTGCAACTTTCACATCATTAGTTAAATCCTCCATTCTGAGGAGGAATTTCTCCGTTATTTTACCTAACACCTAGTAGTGCTTACTTTATGTCAGGTACTATTTTAAGTGCTTTAACCATACAATCATAGGGTGGTTATTATTACTATTCCCACAGATAAAGAAAATGAGGCATATAGAGGTTGAATTACTTAACCGAAGTCACAGCTACTAAGCTCTAGTAGAGCTGAGATTCAAATCCAGGATGTCTGGCTCCAGAGAAGCCATGGTTTAACCACTATGTTTTACTGCCTTTTGAAGTCTTTAGAAGCTTTGTGTTCTATCTGGGTGATCTGATCACATGACCCGTTGAAAGAGACACATGCCATACACATACCCTCAACTCTCCCTGGGATACACCAGGTCAAACCTATCTACTTTTCTGACCCTTTGGAGGACCTAAGAGGAAAACAAGGTGCTGCAAGAGAACAAGACTAGGACTTACTTGGCATGGGGTAATAGTGGGGCCTTTTAATGGTTTTCAAGGGCGACACAATACCTCATCAAAGCATATTTTTGTAGAAATTTTATTGTTAATTGGAGTCTTCAAAGATGAAAGGGCTGATCTTAGTCAGCTGTTAGGTAAAATGTGGCTGATTCATCAGCCTGTGGAAATTGAGGTTAAGCCAAGGACTGCTGTGTGGATTGAAGGCTGAACCGATTGGCTAAATTCCAATGTTTTCAAAGTATGTCAAGGTAAGAATTTTTTAGCTGCAGAGACATGAGAAAACATGCCCTATCATTCAAGTTTGTTCAATGTGAATGTGTTTCTTGTTTGGCATTTCCTCAAGGGTATGTTAAGCTATATCAGTTACTTTTTGTAGCCCTAGAAGTGGAGTGGTTGATGGACCCTTGATGGGTAAATAGGACACTAAGATTATCTAATATCTATTATATCTTTTGATCACTCTTCATTCTAACAGCTTTATATTGAAAATTTTCTCCATAAGCAGGCAGGTTCTCTGAGTGTGCATGTAGTCATGTGGCATCCCAGTTGACAAGTTTAGTAATTAAATAGTAATTCAATTAGTCATTGAATAGAAAGAACTGCTGAGGAACTGCGGTTCCATTATTCCTTTGTGGTTCTGAGACTGGATGCATGATTCTGTGTAAGGAATAAATTGTTTCTCCTTCCAGTGGTCCCTCATGATGTATCGTGGATGGGTATCTGGTGAGGGATACGGCATCCTACAGGGCTGCCATGGGCAATAGACTGTCCAGTATGAGAATAAAACACATGCCAATGGCTAACGCAGGAAATCTTTGAGAAAGGCTTGGGCACTGGGAGAGGTTTTCATTACCTTTGATTAGAGACGAGCATCAATAATCCTATAGAGATCTAAGTTTTTTGTGTGGAAAGACTCTCGGGGAACTCAGCTTTCTGGTTGCTTTATTAGCTGACTAAGAACATTAAGACACTATTACTTCAGGTGGTGTGAAGCTGTTTGAAGACCCATAATGGCAGAGACAAATCAAAGTATTTAGAACTAAAGGGTCTCTTCTGGTGAGGAGGGAGTAACAATCTGAGTTTATTGTTGATGAAATATGATTTGGCTGTGCCAAATCCTGATCTCGATCTAGAGCTCTGCTTTTCAATATGGCAGCTACTGGCTACATATGGCTAAATTTAAATAAAGTAAAATTGAATAAGATTAAAAATTCAGTTCCTCAATCACCCAGGTCACATTTTAAGTGTTAACACTACTATGGTAGCTAGTTACTATCATAAAGGAGAGTACAAATTCTGGAACATCTCCATCACTGTAGAATGTTCTATTGATTGAGCAGCATTGCTCTAGAAGATAAATAGGTCACCAAAGATACTGTATCAAGAAACACCATTCTGATGATGTGATTGGGCATACCAGGAAGGCTCTATCTAGTTTTTATTTTGAACCACTAGAGATTTGAAGTAGGAGGGAAGGCAGCAAGACCTTAGACTTTGGAGTGAATTGTAAAGCCTGATTTTCACAGTGAAGTCACCTTCTTTCAGGGGATCACTATGCATACTGGTCACCAGCAAGGAAGTGGGAGCAGAGGATGGATGTTCTAAGGTTAGGGCTTCCACTGAATGAGACGTGTGTGACCTGATTAAGCAGAAGGAAGTGGTTAAAGGTACTTTTGATACTTTCATAAGTGGTGAGTGTGGCTGACCTTGAGTTTCTAGAACTTCCTTTGGCTTCTGACCTTACTGTTCTTTCTCTGATTACCTTCGTAATAATCAGTTAGGCATCCTAAGAACATAAATCTTAGCTTCCCTTTCTCGTTTAAGAGATTCTTAATGCCTTTCTCAAAAGGAAAGTAGTTTTATTAGTCCTGTTTCACATGCCTCTAAAATTTTAAAGGCAAGGGAAGTCAAATGAAAGGCAATACTAGTTCAGGGTGTCCCTGGTGGCTTGTAGCATGGGGATGTATCTAAATCATTTTCAACAGTCTGGTGAAACATTTGTTTGCCTGCTTCCACCCAAGTCCTTTGATGTAGACTCATGAACTGAGGAAGTGAGAAGCAATGAAGAATGCTTGAGGTCTCCATATTCAGAGGGTTAGGTGTCCATCATTGAAATTAGAAAGTAGGTCAAGAGAGAAATGTTAAAAGGAGGTCATTATTTAAAGAACAGTGAGAAGGGTTAAGAACAGGGAAATTGGTAGATTTTGAGCCAAGAGTTGTTCTAAGTAGAACAAGAGCAGTTTTTATGAATTGATGAGAGAAGAGGAAGGTGGCTACAGGGAATGAAGAGGGAATTACCAGGGTGACAATAATAAAAACAAACAAACAAACAAACATAAAAAAACATGAGCACTAGGCCTTATTTAATTTTGGATATTCATCATCCTCTCACACCAATAAAAACTCTAACATCCCATAAAATACCTGTTGAATGAACCGTCAGGAAAGAAAATCACACAGATGCATAAATTCCTTTATTGAAAATATTGGGCTAGCACTGCATTACATATATTCAATATCCATAAATGAAGGGCCACACATTTCTAATTGGACAATACTGCTTTAAATAGAGAACACAGCATCTGGATATGCTCTCACAAGTACATATAATATCATGGACTAAACTAGGTAGGAGTGAACTATATGCAAAATGACCACGTTGTTTGTTAATAGCATATGGTTACAAATGGCATAAATAGTAAATGTGATCATCATGAGACATTCCTGATATCTCACACCAACACATTATTTAATGAGCAGAGTATGGTTAAGCGGCCAGTATGTTGTTCATTGAGAGTTCTCAATAGTAGAACTCAGGGGAAAGCACACCCAGGCTACAGATTTAAGATGTTATAACATTCATTTAAACTTGCATGGAATGTGAGTGGAGTTAAATAACTCTTGATCTGACAGGAGGCCACTTGGCAATTTTCTTTATATGTATATATATATAAATAGTCTAAAGTAACAGAATAATCTAAAGAAAATACTCTGCCAGCTTAAGGCTAACATTCTAAGAACTGTTTTATTTTTCTAAATGCAGGTGTGTGTGTGTGTATTACTTGTTATTAATTTTTTCTTTCCAAGATCACTAGGGATGTAATTTTGGACAGACCACTTTTCAGCTTAGGCTACTAATCGAAATTTTTTTCCTTTAGCATACTTTGGCTTTTATAAAAGTCTGGCAATCAATAATATTGGTTAAATTTTTAACAAGGTTTTATTATAGTATTTAATAAAACTGTTTTATGATATGAAAATGGGTTGATGTTAAAAAATAGGTTTTACTTTTTATTTTAATTTTGGTATGAATGCATTTCTTTGTATTGCTTTTTTTAAGAGAGTCTAGAAACCAAAACAATTGGGCTAATTTGATATTTTTCATTTGACATAAAATATACAGAAATTAAAACACTCAGTCCCTATTAAAACAGGCATGTTTGTTCATGAAAAATTGGGGGTAAATTATGCAAAAACACTATGAAAATAAAGTTTTTATTATTAACACAAAAGATTTTATAAGAAGCAAACCATTTTCTTTTCAAAAGCAAGGTTGGAGTCTAGGTTCATAAAAGTATCTGTTTCTGTAAATATCTACTTGACTGAGCAATGGCTTATTTTTCTTTACTACGTTCAGAGTAAGTAATTAAAAATGTATCTTTTTAATAACTGAATGGAAAGCCGGCCTACAATAGTCAAATTAATGAACATTGATGATGAGTTTTTTTAAATTCAGAATTATGCATATATATATATATTCTGCTTAAGACCTATTACTCTAAACAATCAGGGCAAAAAAAATTCAATATAAAACTATATAAATCAAATGGAATTGTTGCCAAAACTTAGCACATATCTTTATTTCAAAATGTGACACATTGAAAGAAAAAAACTGGCAACACATTTCAGACAATTTACTAGAAATAATAAATAAAAGTTTTTAAAAAAATCATATACATATTCCCTTTAAGTGCTATGCACTTTTGATTTTTCTAAATGAGACTAACCTTTTCCATGGCAAACAACAGTATGCTGTACATTTTGGTAATGAAAATTATGTTGATAAATATACAAGGCATGTAAATATTTCCACAGTATCTTTTTTTTCACAGTTACCAAAAAATAAAAATTGCATTCAACTCATACATCTATAAATACTCTGATTTCTCACTGTATAGATTTAAAGAAAGTGAGAATACAAAGTCTCTCAACAATTTCGACTTCAAATCTCTTTCGTCAGTGTCTGCCCTCCACATGTACCTTTCAGGATCTCTCTGCAATGTGATCGTGCTCTGAGATGATGGCAGAAAGAAAGCATTATGGTGGGATGAGGCAGTCCAGGCTGGCGTTTCGTCTTCCAGCCAGCTTTAGGAGGGCTGATCAAACTCAATCTTTTAATGTTGTGTTTTAAGGCAGTCTGAATTTCACTCGAATGTCCATACCTCGAGGTCCTGAACTATGAAGTCTTCCTTTTTGGAAAGAATATCATTATTGAAAGTGCTGCAGGAGTTGCTTCGTCCATGGTATAAATCAGCATCTAGCCATAAACCAAATCTTCCCCTGAAAAGGTTAAAAATAAAAAAAAAGGTGGAAACATTTCAACCTCATGTGGCATACTTTCTGTCCTCCCTCATCCTGTTCTTCTTTCCTTTATGCTATAGACAGACAAAAACCCTAAACTTGTAAAACAAAGGGTACATTTATTTATTTCATTTAAATGACCTGTCTTTCCTAAAAGACAAGTGGTAGTAGTCACTCATTTAGACACATTAAATAAATCATTTTATCTTTGATTCTTAGTGGCATGTATTAGGCCACTGTCCTAATTAAAGTAAGCACATGAACTAGCTAAAATCATCTGACACATAGGTTTTGTTACCTAGGTCAAAACAGACCCACTCAGGTCAGGTGGTAAATTAATAACAATCACAAAAACCTTACCCTCCACCACCAAGTTCTAAAGAACTTATGTCTCCATTGATAAAGTATGAGTTTTCTCCACTCCACTTGAAGACCTTAGGGCAGAAACACAGGACAAAATACAGACATTTTAATCTGGAGAATTAGCAAAGAGGAAACATCAGGATAATACCTCTGTAACTACCCACTGGCTGAGAAAGGTCCTGATCGCCAGGCTTTCCCCACACTACGATGACATCTCCACAGGGGTTACAAAGCAGGAAGACCTCTCAGGCCTACGCTGACTCTGACTTGCGACCCCTTCCTGGATCCCAGATCACGCAGAAAGAACAGTTCTCCAAATCCAGGGAGGGATCCCAAGCAGTCTGTGTGCTATAGCCAGTGAGTGCTGATCCAGGCTAGAGAGAGTCAGACGAGGTTACAGGACAGCCATTGTTTCAATGACAGCTCCCTACCTCCAAACCCACCCATACCCCTGACACTCTGACATTGGGAAAGCAGATATTTCTCTCATCTAGGTACCTTGAAATTTGGGCTAAATGTGTAGAGAAAAGTTTCGCCTGTGCCATAATAGTGGTCGCTGAACTTGAAAGGATGAGTTGCGTATGCTCCAAAAATCTGTCAAAAGAAAACAGAAATGTTATCTACTTTCAAACCTAAACCTCCAAAAGAAAAGCTTTCTTAATTATTTTAACACAATCCTGTTTTGAGACCTTATTATGCCTCTTTTAGCAAAGATTATTGTTAAATTGGAGCTCTTAGATAAAAGGACCACCAACAAACATAAATCAAAACATCCCCAATTCTAATTGGAACCCAAGTGGCTCAGAAAACTTGTCAAAGGCCAATAATTATTTCAATTTTAAAATACTTCCAAAATCCACTAGGGACAAAAGTTCCTTTAGTGAATACAGAATACATATTGGGAACATTAAACGAGATGCATCTTGTACACAGAAATAAGTGGCTGAGAGAACAGTCATGTCTCTTAGTGTTTTATAAGTAGAATAATAGCCAAACATTTCCCCAGAGAAAATAATCTTTTCTCTCTTTTGATTTGTAAAAATGAGTTCTAACTATGCTTATTGAAACTATATCCTTAACATGACTAAGTCAATATGTCTTAGTTCAAAATAGCTTTTAAGAAAAAAAATTTCTATAATACTATGGGCTTTAAAGGTGACTTAGATGTATCCGAATCAAAGATTCTTCTATTTTTTTCTTATTGTGGGGTGGAAAGAACAGAATCTTCAGAATATGTGTGCCCACTGCCTCAGCTTCTCATCCCGCTCAGAGTCTCCTTAGTATTTGCAGGGGTGAGGGTTGGCAAGAGTGAGCATACATATATTTTGAAACTGCCCCTTGGTAATTCTGATATACCTTCTATTCCAAATCTCTCTTGAGAAACATTGCTTTAAATGCAGATTATCTGAAAAATGTCATAATTTTTCAAAATTATTTTAACTGTATTATAATCATTGTGGAATCTCTTCTTTACAACTATACGTAGTGCCTGGATCATTGAAATAGTAAAAAAAATAGGTAGAGTAGAAGTCTAGAAACTCTTTCTAACCAATGCTCTTCACATTTCCTGCTACCAAACCTTTCTGTAGAGCTGCTAAGAACAAACAAGTACAAAACAGTAACAAAAACATCAAAAAATCCATTTCCCTCCTTCTGGTGATCTTTCAGTAAAAGAACAAAAATACAACTGAGATAGACATCTATTTTTAAAAGCATATGCTAAAATATAACAAGAAAGGTATGACCATATATGGAAGAAAGTGGATCCCTTTCTGATCAGTGAATAGGAAAACCCATCCATACTCGTTTGTCTTCCACAGGATTCTAAATCACTATATTCTTTCTTCACTAAAATTTCTTAGCAATCATGTAAATCTGTTTAAGAACTGAGGATTCGATGATACTAAGGAATTATTGTTAATTTTGTTAGGTATACAGCATTTTGGTTATATAAGAAAATGTCCATTTTATTTTTTTCTAATTAATTTTTAGAAAGCAATCATGTACAATAATATTTATATAATAGCATTGTTGGGGTGATACCATTTAAAAATTTAATGTATTTGGCAATGACAGAACAGAGGAATCCATGGGAATAAATGAAGACAACCAGAAGTGATAAAAGGAAGATTAATATAACAAAATCTATAAATGTATGTTTGCTCAGCTTTAGTAGATAAAAAATTATATAAAGTAGTAATCATAAAAATTTATTGCTGGGTTTTTAATGTATATCAATGTGTCTAACAAATTACCTCAAAAAGTGGAACGATATCATAGTGCAAGATAGGAGCAGCACTTCTATACCTCACTGGAATTAAATTTGTATAAATCAGACGATTAACTGCATAAAAATTGTTCTGTTATTTTCCACAATGCCTTGTGGTATAAATTACTCCACAGTCTGATTCGATTAAATCTGGGCCCCTCTGCAGAAGTAGTTTCTTTGGCCAGCCAATCTTGACGCCAGGAAGGCTCTCCTTAGAGGTCCTAGAAACTAGATGGTCTATAGTTTAGCTTGTTGCCTTTATGGAGCTGCCAGCCTCCTCTTGGTTGTCACCAAGATTCGCATTGTTTCTAGAGTGCCCTATGGCTTGAACTTCCACACTCTTCTAAATAAAGTCAGTTCCTCTAAGGAGAGCTTCAGAGCTTTCTCTCTTATGGTCTGTCTCTTCCCCTGGAGCTAGGGGCTAGGGGCTCTGCTCTGGAGCCAGGGGCTGGACGGTGGTCTGCTTTTCTCAGATGAAAAACCATGTTTGATGAGCAAGATGCTGGGCAGGGTACCAGCTGGTCTTGGCTCACCTCACTTGGCATGGAACTTCTGCCCTACAAGCTGGGACAAGAGCAGTAGAGATGCCCGCACTCTTGGCCTGCCACACCTAAGGTAGAGTGTGCCCT